AACCCACTGGCAGGCGACAGAAATTTACTAGTGTTTAACCCCAACTAGTAGGGTCATCAATAACATATCGACATGCGCCGACATGTGCTAGCGTTTAACCCCCACTAGCGGGATCATCAATAATCATAACTATATCCGAGACAAAACCATGCAGGATTTACAGAAAAACCCGAATTTCACAATCAATCCCGAATTTCAGAACAAACCGGAAAATCTCCATGCAGGCATGGATTTAACAAAAAACTCAACATTTACAAAATTCTCAGTTCATCAAAGCAGTTTAGTCAATTCCCAAATAGGCATGCTCTATTCCAGAAAAACAATGAAATTGTCATTTTCATTTCTCAATCATGCTCATTTCCAGAAAATCAATAAAATCCTCATTTTCATTTCAATCATGCTCAATTTCAGAAAAACAAGGAAACTCTCATGAAAATCATCCAAATTTTCATTTCAGCTTAATCACACTCAATTGCTGATGAAAATCAACTTAAAATCAATTTAAACCTTGCCACCATCTCAAAAACAGTTTAAAACATGCTTTAAAATTGAAGGGCTTTACCATAATTTACTTACCTTACTCGCACAGAACAGAAGGCTAACCCAAGTGCTACGGTGACAAAACAATCAAAACCTAATCACAATATTCCACAATTAATAACCATACCACCACAAATTCACAGTGAAATCATCATTAGCACTACCCCTAATCACGGTGCTATTTCTATCAATCTCCACATAACCGAACATCTCCAAATTCATTCTTATATCACAAACTAAACCTTTAAATCCTCGTTAATCGTTAACCCTCGGTGTGTGAACAGTGTTCTGTGAACAGTGCCGTGGACAGTACCCACGATGTGAACAGTAACTCCAACTTCCAAAAATTGGCCAAAACACTAGCTAATTCACGGGATTTTCACACAAAATATCACAGCAGCTAATTCAAGCTAAATTCTACTTAATCAAGCTTAAAACACATTTAAAAGGGTTGCCAAATTCATCCCCTATCCCAGCAGATTCGGACAACATAGAGCATCAACTAATGGACAAAACCCAGCCATTAAATGGGTCATTTTAAGCTTGGAAAAGACGGCTACTTACCAGAATTTAGCAAGCAAAACCGAGCCTAGCAGGGGGGGAGGAGCCGGCGGTAGAGAAGAAGAAATTCTGCAGGGGAACTCGCGGCTACCCAATCCAAAAACCAAAACACAATTCAAGGTAAACCCAAGCCTAAATCAAGAGAGAAAAGGGAGATTCAGGTTGTTCTTACCGAAAAATGCCAAGAAATTTCAAACCCACAAGTTGAAGCCGACGGACAGCAGAGGGAGGAAGACGCAGATCTGGGATTTTCTGGGTTCAACAGGTGTTCTAAGACAAGAAAATAGGGAGAAATCCCCAAGTTTTACCCGTGTTTCTGGCCGGAAGTGGGTGGCGGTGGCTGGGGCTCTTCTCGGGTTGCAGGGGAGAAGAACAGAAGAAGAGCAGAAACGCGGGTCTGATGAGGGAGGAAAGAAAGAAATAAAAAAAGAAAAAGGAAAGTGGTTGATCCTTATCCTAATTTCCTTTCTTTTTAGCCCCTCAACTTCTTAAAATTTTACGATTAAACCTCAAAACAATATTTTTCCTCAAATAAGTCCTCAATTAAATGCTAAAATACCCCAAAACTTTGGGATATTACAGGAGGAGGACATTGAAGAGCGTAATTTGGAGGCTGAGTTGGATGCTGAGTTTGCTGTGCTTGATCTTGAGTTAGATGCTCAACTGGAGGAGGAGTTATCACATGTTGTCCCAAAGACAAGACGTGGCATGGATAAAGGAGATGACACTCCTGCAAACCCGAGTAAAAGGAAGTTGCTTAGCCTTAATCACCAAGTCACATTCAGCCATGAGAGGTTTGGGAGGACTACCATAGTAATATGGAAGTACTTGTATGATGAGCCAGTGCTTTTTTGGTCTAGTTGGCCTGAGGAAAAGAAGAGGGTTGCTTGAAAGAATTTCCAAGTATGAAAATTATAGAATAAAATGAAGTATTTTTTGAGAATTTATTTAGATGATATCATTTTATTTTATGGCATTTGATATTGTAATACCCCAAAAATTTCTAGAACAATTAAGTGAGTTAGGGACCAAATTGTGAGAAAATAATATTATTGAGCCTAATCATCAAACTTTCAAATTTTGAGGGACTTAAAAGGGGAAATATTTGGATAAGGATGGGCTGATTTTTTCCTTCTTTTTCTTCCTCAGCCACATGTTTCTGCTCATTCTCCTTCTCCCTTGCACCGACCAAGCACCCAGCCAAGCCCGACAACACCCTACTTGGAAAACCAGTAAGAAAAGCTTAGTTTTTGCCCTTCTTTTCTTGTTCAAGAACAAGATTTGGAGCCTTGAAATCTTTCCCCTCTGTAGAATTTTCAGATCTGCTCTGCTTTGTTCCTTCCGTCGTCTGCTCTTGTTTGTGGGTGTGAAATTTTCCAAATTTCTGGTAAGAAACAGCCACCAATTCCTTTGTTCTTCCTTGAATTGGCTTGGGTTTACTTTAATTTCTCTTGGTTTCTCCAATTTTTGGTAGATCCCCCTGAATTTTCTGCACTTCCCGCCAGCTCTCTCCCAAACCCGCTAGCTCCGGCCTTGCTTGCTGAAATTTTGGTATGACAGCTTAATCTAAGTCCCAAATTACCCATTAGTTGCTGAATTTAGTCCAGTTAATTGCTGCCCTGTGTTGTCTAAATTTTGCTAAAATGGGGGAGGAATTTCGGTAGCAATTAGGACAATTTAAGCATTAATTCAAGTAGAATTTATGTGATTGAGTGTTAATTAGCTATTGTGAGGTTCTTGAGAAAAATCCCGTGAAATTAGTTGTTGTTTTGCCAATTTCTGGAAGTTGCAGTACTGTTCACTGCATAATTACTGTTTATGGATACTGTTCATGGATTACTTTTCACGCACTAATAGCCAACAATATGAGGGTTTAAATGTGTAATTATACTGAGAATGAAATTGAGATGTCTGGTCATATGGTTATTAATTCTGAAATATTTTGGTTAGTGAATTTTCTGTGTTATGTGATTGAGGTAAGTAAATTATGGTAACGCCTTCCGATTTCAAAGCATATTTTAAATTGTTTTTGAGATGGTGGTAAAGCTTAAATTGATTTTATTAGCACTGAGCATGATTGGTTTGAAATGAAATTGTTTTCATTTGCATTAAGTAGAGCATGCCTACTTGGAAATTACTGAACTGTTGTGATGATTGAGAATATTTGTAAATTTTGATTTTCCTATCAAATCCATGCCCACATGGAATTTTTCTGGTTTATTCTTGAAATCTGAGATTGATTGTGAATTACGGATTTTTCTTGTAAATCTTGCATGGTTTTGTCTCGGATATAGTCATCATAACTGATTACTGACTCCCGCTAGTGGAAGGTTGTAAACGCTAGCATATGTCGACATGTTTATTAATAGGATCAGTTCATTCTATAATCCTGCCAATGGGAGAATACATTGGTAATTACGGACGCCTACTAGTAGGTGTTAAACATTGGCCATGACTTATAAATGAGATTACTATTGAATTTTCTTCTGCATTAACGGTTTGTCATTGAACGCTTTCTTATTGAACTAGATCTTATTCTGTATTAACGGTTTATCATTGAACGTTTTGTTATGTTAAACTATTTATCGGGCATGCTAAAATTTTACTCACGAGCTATCCACATTTTTACTTACTGAGATATTTTATCTCAGAGTTTTCCTTGGCCACCATTTTAGGTAATGAGACCCGAGGCATGGTTAACCAAGGGGATTGACGAGCTAGACGGCTAGTCAGTATTTTGGACTTAAATCCTTTTTGGACTTAGGCCGTTAGCCACACATGTTTGACATAGATGTGAACTGATAAATCATTTTTTGTGTACTGATTTTCCTTGGTTATAACCATGACTGTTTTATAAATGTTGTACATTTGAACTAGCAAATTTTTGGTAACTGAAAGCTAGTTATTAACCAAGTTTTCTGATTTAAGCTATGTAAATTGGTAGTTATGAACATTGTAAGTTCCAAGCCTTGTGCATTTGTGGGACTCGTTCACGAGTACATGGCATTTGTTTCGCTCCTGGTTTTGGGGCGTGACAGATTTTATGGTATTAGAGTCTAGGTTTAAATTAAGGTTAAATCCCCATTTTGGTTCCTGAACTATTGTACAAACCCTTGATTTGGTCCTTGAACTAAAGAAATCTTTGATTTGGTCTTTAAACTATTGTACGAACCCCTGATTTGGTCCCCACCGTTTATAATTTGGCCTAAGTTGGTCCTTGAACTATTGTACGGATCCCCAATTTGGTCCTTACTGTTTACAATTTCGCCCCAATTTGGTCCTTGAGCTATTATTTAACAGAAAGACCAAGTTGAGGCTAAATTGGTAAACAATAGGGACCAAATTGGGGATCCGTATAATAGTTTAGGGACTAACTCGGGGGTTCGTACAATAGTTTAGGGACCAACTCAAAGGTCTGTACAATAGTTCAAGGACCAAATTAGGGATTTCTTTAGTTCAGGGACCAAATCGGGGGTTCGTACAATAGTTCAGGGACCAAAATAGGGGTTTAACCTTAAATTAAATACCTAGGATTTGTTTAGAACTTGGCTAGCCAATGGATTATAGGAATATGGTGGGGCATGAGAGTGGGGTTGATTAAGGGCACTTGTCTGATTCCTTCTTGAATGTGTGTTGGATTTTAATTATGAGGTTTTGGTCCCGGAAGTAGAAACTTGCCGAGAAACCCTAATTTGGGGCACTTGATTAATAGTTTATGAACCTTTTTTGTGGCAATAGATGGCTCCAAAATGGCATGGGCGCCCGAGGGGTGGCCATAGGGATCAGGGCACTCCTCCAATCCCAGCTGCTAGCCCATCTGCCCAAGTTACTCCTCAGGATGAGTAACCCTCAAATAGCCACTTTTGTTTAGGAATTTATGGCGGAGATGAGACGCCAAGCATCTTCTACCACTAGTGTGCCACCTCTATCCCCAGTGGTTTCCACTCCTACGACCCCTGCTCCTATTTCTCCTGCTCTTATATCTTTTACTCCTGCTGTGCCTAGCTAGAAGGTCTATATAGAATTCCAAAAGATGGTGACCAAGAAATTTGATGGTACCGCGGGTTTTGAACAAGTGGGGTCATGGATTATTGAGGTGGAGAGGGGATTCCGCCTATTGAAAATTTATGATGACCTTAAGGTCGATGTGGGCAGTTATATGGTTACGGGTAAAGCATTGACTTGGTGGGAGAGTTACTTGAAACTACACCAAGGAGAGCCTGAATTGAGCACCTAGAATGGTTTTAAAAAGGTGTTCATGCAAGAATACATATCCAATAGCAAAAGGCATAAGCTACAAAGGGAATTTGCAGATCTTAAACAAGGGTCACGTACTGTTGAGCAATACAAGAATGAGTTTGACCGCTATCTGCCTTTTTTGGGTAGTCAAGTCGGGGATGAGCAAGCCAAAAATGATAGATTTTTATGGGCTTGAATCTTGACATCTATCTGGCGATGAATCAATTCAAACCCGCCACTTATAGAGAGGCGGCGGATAGAGCCATAGATTAGGAGAAGGCTATGGCTAGAGTCAAGACACTAGACCCGCAAAAAGGTTAGGTCATTCCTTGGGAAGAGAAAGTTTGATGGGAGCCGTAGACCCTTTATCTCTGCACCACCTAAGTTTGATACAGGTAAGGGTTCTAAAGAGCTAAGGGTTGCCAAGACTGTGGTTTAGGCATCAGCAGCCCAGTGTACTCATCCTGCTCCACCTATTTGCCCTGTTTGTCGAAGAGTTAGGCACAATGGTGACCAGTGTCACACTGCTACTGGGCTTGCTTCAAAGGTGGCAAGCAAGGGCATCAGATTGCTAATTGCCCGTAGCCAGACCTTAGAACTCAGAGTACTCAATCTACATCTTAGCAGGGTTCTACTAATCAAAAGGCACAAAAACAGAATACTGGGGTTAGGACAATAGCCCAACAGGCGAGAGTGCACGTGATGACTCACAAGGAAGCCGCGGCTCCTTACGTTATTGTCACGCCCCAAAACCCAAATCCGAGGACGTTGTGGTTGACGTCGTGCACTCGTGAGAGAGTCCCACAAATGCACAAGACTCGGAACTTATCCAATTCACATCTGACAATCCAATAACTTAGATAATATATTTCAAATTAATTCTATGTCCAACACTTAAGCTCAAAATCTCAAGGCAAAATCTATCTTATAAAAGCATAATTCATTTCTAAAATCTATATTAATCTCGAAATGGCTAGCCTTCTAACTTGTCACTTCCCGTGGTTTCCCCGTCCTCGGTTTCGCTTCCTAAAATGGTGGACAAGGAAAAACTATGAAATAAACTCAATAAGTAAATATGGAGTGCCCCTTATTAAACTTATAGCATGCCAACCAGTATAATCACGAAAAACAGGTACAGTACGGGAACGAAATAGGCGTCTCCTCTATAGGTCATGGCCAATGTTATAAACCTCCCACTGGCGGGCACAATAGTAACCAATGTTTTATCCCATTGGCAGGATTACAGAATGAACCGGTTCTATCAGTAAACATGTCGACATGTGCTAGCGTTTATAAACCTCCCACTAGCGGGCACAGTAAAACATGACTATATCGGAGACAAAACAGGCAGAAGTTAATAAGAAAATCCTAATTCACAATCAATCTTAATTTTCAGAAATAAATAGGAAAATTTCCATGCGAGCATGAATTTAACAGAAAAATCAGAATTTACAAAATTCTCAGTTTATCAGGGCCGTTAAGTAAATTCCAAGTAGGCATGCTCAAATCAATAAAAACAATAATAATCTTATTTCAAGTCAATCATGCTCATTTTTGTATAAAACGGGTTTAGTCTCGCCACCACTTGAAAAACAAGTTAAAATATACTTTTAAAAACTGTACGGGCATTACCATGAATTTACTTACCTCACTCGCATAAAACCGAAGACTCGATCTCAGTGCTAAACTGATAAAATGATCAGGAACCTAATCAAATATCCAAGAATTAATTCTGCACTACCACAATTTCAAAGTGAAATCATCATTAGGACCACCCCTAATCACGATGCTATTTCTATTAGTCTCCATATGATCGGACATCTCCAAATTTGTTCTTATATTACAAACTAAACATTTAAATCCCCATTAATTGTTGGCCATTAGTGCGTGAACAATACCCATAAACAGTGCCCCGTGAACAGTACCCATAAACAGTAATCACGCAATGAACAGTAACTGCCACTTCCAAAATTGGCAAAACCATAGCTAATCTCACGGGATTTTCTCTCCAAAAATCACAGCAGTCAATTAACACTCAATCACATAAATCCCACTTGAATTAAGTTAAATCATGGTGTAATTACTATCAAATTTCTCCCCTATTTCCAGCAGATTTTCGGACATCACAAGGCAGCAAACTAAATGGATAATTTTAGGCTTAAAGGGTTGCCACATACCAGAATTTACAAGCAAGGAACCGGAGCTACATATTGGGGAAGCCGGTAGCAATCTACAAGAGAAAAATCACGCAATCCAAGAAAAATTGGAGAAATCAAGAGGGCTTAGAATAAACCCAAGCCAAATCAAGGTTGAAAAGATGAAGTTCATGTTGTGTTCCTTACCAGAAAATCGAACCCACCACCCACAGCAGCAACCGGCGGCACAAGGAAGGAGAAGGCAACAGCAGATCTGGAATTTTCTGCAGGAGGAGAAGGTTTCTAAGCTCCTAAATCTTGTCCTTGAACCAAAAAGAAGGAAAAAAACCCAAGCTTCTTATCGGTTTCCTCAAGGCATGGCTGTCGGCTTGCTTGCTCCTTGTTCGGCTACAGGGGGGTTGGGAAGAGCAGAAGCACACGAGATGAGGAAGAAAGAAAGAAGGAAAAAAAATAGTGGATCCTTATCCAAATTCTTTCCTCTTTTAAATCCCTCAACTTTTAAAATTTTGCTATTAAGCCCCAACATAATATTTTTCCACAATTTAGTCCTTAACTCACACTTATTTATTCTAGAAATTTTTGGGGTATCACAGTTATCACAGGTACTTTACCTGTCAATTCTGATTATGCACATGTTTTATTTGATTTAGGTGCATCACACTTTTATAGCTTGATCTTATGCTTTGAAATGAGCCTTAGCTATTGATACTTCTGATTTTGAACTGCATGTGAACACCCCTTTAGGAGGGGTGATGACTACTGGAGGACTATAGATATTTATATTGATGGTAGACAATTAAGTGCTAGCTTGTTTGTTTTAGATATCTCTGATTTTGACATCATTTTGAGGATGAATTGGCTGCCAAAATATTTTGCCTCTATAGACTGCAACCGTAAATGGGTGATTTTTAATATCCTCGGGGAGCCAAAATTTAGTTTCCAAGGCAGTGGTTCCTTTACTCCACCCATACTGATATCGGCCTTGCAAGCTCAGAAATATCTCATAAATGGTTGCCAAGGTTTCTTAGTTTCTGTCACTGATGTTAGTAGTGTGACATTGAGACTAGAAGACATTCCTGTGGTGTGTGAGTTTCCGGATGTATTTTCAGAGGATCTCCCAGGTTTACCTCCTAATAGGCAGATTGAATTTGCTATTGATCTTGTTCTTGGCACCGGACCTATTTCCAAAACTCCGTACTATATGGCTCTTGCGGAATTGAAGGAGTTAAAGGTCCAGCTGGAGGAACTCCTTGAGAAAGGGTTTATACGACCTAGTGTGTTACCTTGGGGAGCTCCAGTGTTGTTTGTTAAAAAGAAGGATGGGAGCATCAGATTGCGCATAGATTACCGAGAACTAAATAAGGTGACTGTGAAAAACCGATATCCCCTTCCTAGAATTGATGACTTGTTTGATCAGCTTAAGGGTGCCCAAGTGTTTTCTAAGATTGATCTCCGGTTTGGCTACCATCAGTTGAAGATTAGACTTGATGATGTTCCAAAGACTGCCTTTCGTACCCGCTATGGTCGTTATAAATTCTTGGTTATGCCTTTTGGCTTAACAAATGCCATTGCAAGATTTATGGATTTGATGAATCGAGTATTTAGCAAGTTCCTAGATAAGTTTGTGGTTGTCTTTATTGACAACATTTTGATTTACTCTTCTAGCCATGCTTTTCATAAAAAGCACTTGAGAACAGTTCTCGAGACATTGAGAATTGAGAGGCTGTTTGCTAAATTTAAGAAGTGTGAGTTTTGGCTAGATAATGTTGCATTCCTAGGTCACGTTGTGACTAAGGATGGAATCTTCGTTGACTCGCAGAAGGTTGAGGCCGTGATGGATTTGAAAAGGCCGAATAGTGTTGTGAAAGTCCGTAGTTTTCTAGGATTTGTTGGTTATTACCGTCGATTTGTTGGGGATTTCTCTAAAATTGCTCTGCTAATGACCCGTCTAATCAGGAAGGGCACCAAATTTGAGTGGACTCCAGAGTGTGAGAAGAGTTTTCTAACCCTTATAGAGAAACTAGTCACTGCTCCTATACTCGCACTTCCCATCAATGGGCAAGGATTCACTATATATAGTGATGCCTCTAAAAAGGGTTTGGGATGTGTCTTGATGCAGAAAGATAAGGTTATTGCATATGCTTCATGGCAGTTAAAGCCTTATGAAGAAAATTACCCTACCCATGATCTGAAGTTGGCAGCTGTGATATTTGCACTCAAGATCTGGAGACATTATCTATACGATGAGACCTGTGAAATTTTCACTGATCACAAGAGTCTTAAGTATATTTTCATTCAAAAGGAGCTTAACATGAGGCAAAGGCAATGGCTTGAACTTTTGAAAGATTATGACTTGATCATTAGCTACCATCCAAGCAAAGCCAAAAAAGTAGTAGATGCATTAAGTAAGAAGTCCTCTAGCACTACCTCTAGCATCCTAGCCACCCAGAAAGAGATACTTGAGGACCTTGTGAAACTGGATGTGGAGTTGAGAGTGGACAGTACTACAGCTTATCTAGCTGCTCTCAGTGCACAACCGGCATTAATTGATAGAATTAAAGTTGCCCAACAAAAAGATCCTTTCTTGCAAAGGTTGAAGGAAAAAGTAAAGACGAGGGAACCCCACATGTAAGAATTCAGAGTTTCCGATGATGAGACTCTATGGTTTGGTGACAGGCTGTGTGTACCAAGATATCATGCTTTAAGGCGTGAGATTATGGGAGATGCCCATAATACTAGTTACACAGTTCACCAAGGTAGCACCAAGATGTATCGTGATTTGTGTAGTACATTTTGGTGGTGGAATATGAAGAAGGAGATAGCTAGATTTGTCTCACAATGCCTGACTTGCTAGAAAGTCAAGGCTGAACACAAAAGACTTCTTGGGAAGCTGCAGCCGTTACCTATTCCCCAATGGAAGTGGGAGAATATCACCATGGACTTTGTGACGGTTTACCGCGAACCTTAAAAGGAAATGATTCCATCTGGGTCATCATTGATCGATTGACCAAGTCAACACATTTCTTACCTTACCAAACTGGCACATCCATTGAGAAGCTTGCTATTATGTACATGAGTGAGATAGTTAGGCTACATGGAGTCCCTATGTCTATTGTGTCAGATGGAGATACAAGATTCTTATCTCATTTCTAGACAAGCTTGTAGCAGGCACTTGGTACTCAATTAAATTTCAGCACGGCCTTCCATCCTCAAATTGACGGGCAATCTAAGAGAACTATTTAGATATTGGAGGACATGTTGAGGGCTTGCGTTCTAGATTGGAAGGGTTCATGGGATCAACACTTATCCATGGCTGAATTTGCCTATAATAATAGTTACTAGTCCAACATCCACATGGCATTGTTTGAGGCTTTGTATAGTCAAAGGTGTAGATCACCTGTTTGTTGGGTAGAGGTAGGTGAGAGAAGCATACTTGGCCCAGAATTGGTGTAACAATCTTCTGAGATTGTGCAATTGATCAAGGAACACCTTCGTGCTGCACAGAGCAGGCAGAAAAGCTATGTGGATAAAAGGAGACGAGACCTTGAGTTTGAAGTCAGTGACCATGTATTTTTGAAGGTGTCACCCATATGAGGTGTCCTCAGATTTGGCATTTGGGGAAAATTGAGTCCGAGGTATATTGGACCATATCATATCTTGGAAAGGGTTGGTGAGGTAGCTTATCGATTGGAGTTGCCTGGAAATTTAGTCGGTGTTCATGGTGTGTTCCATGTGTCTTTACTTTGGAAGTATATTCCCGACCCAAGCCACATCATTGATCCCGAACCCATTCAGCTTTGAGAAGTTCTCACTTATGATGAGCACCCGATCCATATTTTAGATTTCAAGGAAAGGGTAATGTGGAGAAGGACAATTCGTTTTGTTAAGGTCCTCTAAATAACCATTCAGTTAAGAAGCTACTTGGGAGTTAGAATCCAAGATGAGGCAGGAACATCTGCACCTCTTCCAAGATTGAGGTATGAGTTTAGGGGACTAAACTCCTTTTTAAGAGGGGTGGATGTAATACCCCAAAATTTTCTAGAACAATTAAGTGAGTTAGGGACCTAATTGTGAGAAAATAATATTGTTCAGCCTAATCATCAAACCTTCAAATTTTAAGCAACTTACAAGAGGAAAATTTTGGATAAGGATGGGTTGATTTTTTCCTTCTTTTTCTTCCTCAGCCGCGTGTTTCTGCTCATTCTCCTTCTCCCCTGCACCGACCAAGCACCCAGCCAAGCTTGACAACACCTCACTTGGAAAATCGGTAAGAAAAGCTTAGTTTTTGCCCTTCTTTTCTTGTTCAAGAACAAGATTTGGAGCCTTGAAATCTTTCCCCTCTGCAGAATTTCCAGATCTGCTCTGTTTTGTTCCTTCCGTCTGCTACTCTTGTTTGTGGGTGTGATTTTTCCAAATTTCTGGTAAGAAACAGCCACCAATTCCTTTGTTCTTCCTTGAATTGGCTTGGATTTACTTTAATTTCTCTTGGTTTCTCCAGTTTTCGTAGATCCCCCTAAATTTTCTGCACTTCCGGCCTGCTTTCTCCCAAACTCGCCAGCTCCAGCCTTGCTTGCTGAAATTCTGGTATGACAGCTTAATCTAAGTCCCAAATTACCCATTAGTTGCTAAATTTAGTCCAGTTAATTGCTGCCCTGTGTTGTCTGAATTTTGCTAAAATGGGAAAGGAATTTCGGTAGCAATTAGGACAATTTAAGCATTAATTCAAGTAGAATTTATGTGATTGAGTGTTAATTAGCTACTGTGAGGTTCTGGAGAAAAATCTTGTGAAATTAGCTGTTGTTTTGCCAATTTTTGGAAGTTACAGTTATTATTCACTACATAATTACTGTTCACGGGTACTGTTCACGCACTAATAGCCAACAATATGAGGGTTTAAATGTGTAATTATATTGAGAATGAAATTGAGATGTCTGGTCATATGGTTATTAATTCTAGAATATTTTGGTTAGGTTCTTGATTGTTCTGTCACCCAACACTTGGAGTGAATTTTCTGCGTTATGTGATTGAGATAAGTAAATTATGGTAACGCCCTTCAATTTCAAAGCATATTTTAAATTGTTTTTGAGATGGTGGCAAGGCTTAAATTGATTTTATTAGCACCGAGCATGATTGGTTTGAAATGAAATTGTTTTCATTTGCATTGAGTAGAGCATGCCTACTTGGAAATTACTAAACTGCTTTGATGATTGAGAATTTTTGTAAATTTTGATTTTCCTATTAAATCCATGCTCGCATGGAATTTTTTCGGTTTATTCTTGAAATCTGAGATTGATTGTGAATCACGGATTTTTCCTGTAAATCCTGCATGGTTTTGTCTCAGATATAGTCATGATTACTGATTATTGACTCCCGCTAGTGAGAGGTTGTAAACGCTAGCACATGTCGAGATGTTTACTGATAAGACCGGTTCATTCTATAATCCTACCAATGGGATAATATATTGGTTATTACTGACGCTTGCCAATGGGCGAATACATTGGTAATTACTGATGCCTGCTAATGGGCGAATACATTGGTAATTACTTATGCCTGTCAGTGGGTGTTAAACGTTGGCCATGACTTATAGATGAAATTACTATTGAATTTTCTTCTGCATTAACGGTTTGTCATTGAACACTTTGTTATTGAACTGAATCTTATTCTATATTAACGGTTTATCATTGAACGTTTTGTTATGTTAAACTGTTTATCAGGCATGCTAAAATTTTACTCACAGGCTATCCATATTTTTACTTACTGAGATATTTTATCTCATAGTTTTCCTTGGCCACCATTTCAAGTAGTGAGACCTGAGGCACGGTTAACCAGGGGGAGTGACGAGCTAGATGGCTAGTTAGTATTTTGGACATAGATCCTTTTTGGACTTAGGCCATTAGCCACACATGTTTGACATATATGTGAACTGATAAATCATTTTTTGTGTACTGATTTTCCTTGGTTATATCCATGATTGTTTTATAAACGTTGTACATCTGAACTAATAAATTTTTGGTAACTGAAAGCTAGTTATTACTCGAGTTTTTTGATTTAAGCTATGTAAATTGGTAGTTATGAACACTATCAGTTCCGAACCTTGTGCATTTGTGAGACCCGTTCACGAGTGCACGGCGTCTATTTCACTCCTGGTTTTGGGGCGTGACAAATAGGAAAGTACAAGGTATATTTTATATGATTTTTTATATTTTATTTATTACTAGTGAAAAAAATGATAATTTAAACAAAACTTTGCTCTTTCTTTAAGAAAAATCAAAGAAATTATTAAAATTTAATTTTTTTTTCATTGCAGAGGACATATTATTGGGAAGAAGATGATGCTTGTGTGTATAAAATTTGGAGATTACATTGTTGGAACCGTTTCTGAGATGAGCTTCATCGAGCTCGAAAGGCATGGGTCAAGTACAAGAAGTTGCCCGAGTTCATGCATAAGGATACCTTTAAAATTTTGTTGGCAAAATGGGGGAGTCCAAAATATATTGCACTCCAGGAAAGAGGTCGGAAAAACCGAGCAAAGGGTGACCGTGTGACCCACACAACTGGACGCCTTTCTATTGGGATCCACGAGGATCGACTAGTTAGTAGGATATACTTATATATATACATATATAAATTATTTTTGTTTACCATAAAAATGGAAATGTTATTGATTTTATTGATGTTTTAATAGGCAGCTAAAAGAGGAGGAGTTAGGTCGACACCTTTAGAGTTGTACTTGTTGATTCACACGACTCGCTGACCTGATGCTCCAAAAGATGCCCCACCCACTTGGATATGTCCACAGGCTGAGTTGACATATATAAGAATCTGATTCTTTTATGATATTAATTTTATTTATTTTCAATGTCAATTTTGATCAAAAAAGAAAAGTGATACAATTTTTTATCCATTGTACTTAGGAAATGATTATTTTTCATTTGATTTCCCATTATCATTTGAAATTCCTAACTAATGAAAATTTTATTTTTGAAACAAAACGATGCTCACCAAAAATATGTGGAGAAGCATGGGCCAAACAAGGATTCGTGGTCAGAATGGGATCCACTTATCTGGAAAGAAGTGGTTGGACCTCCTAAAAAGGGTCAAATGAGAGGGATGTCTACATTACAGGATCTAGCAGGGCATGGCATCCCTTGGTGACAGTATGACATGATTGAGGCCTCCTCTTCTACCACCAAGATTCTTACGACACAGGTCCAACAGCCGCAATCTGAGCTTACTCAAGTTCGAGAAGAAATGGCTGAGCAAGTTCAGACAGAGGTGGCCGCACGTATTCATATAGAGGTAGAGAGTATCAGAGATGGAGGCTAGCTTTGAAAGGAGATTCCAAGAGCACATGCGCTTACTTAGCTATCAATATTCTATGAATGCTACACAACCCCAGACTGCTGATCCTTCTTTTGGAGGATTTAAACCTGATCACTTACCACCTCCTTACTTAAAGACATTGATATTTTAAACTTATATTATATATGTTTATATATATGTACTGCATATGTATATATATGGTGTGTAGGATGAGAAGTTAGTATATATTTATTAACTTAAACTAGTTTTTAGTTATGTAGTATTTGAGTTTAAATAGGTAAAATATATAATATTAAAAAAATTTAACAATCATATGGTAAAAAGAAAAAAATTACAATATAATATTTCACAAAGAAATAGCATATATATATATATATATCTTTATCTAAACTAGAATTTTTATAATTAATTATTAGCTCAAAAAAATTGATCCTTATTACTTTTAAAACTAAAAATTTTACAAGAGAATTAATTTTAAAAAAAAAACTCAAAAGAAAAACCAAAAAATTTTCAACAAAAGGGAAATAATTAGATAAATCAAATTGTCAATTAGTTTAAAGAGATAGTATATTTGTTTAAATATAAGGATTAAAAAATAAAAAATAAATTAAAAAAAACTGTGACTATATTTGATAGCCATAAAAAAATATATTGGCTATCGAATATAAGTATATTCAACATCCAACATAGCTATCGAATATAACGTCGCCCCCGCCTTCCCAGCCAAGAAAATTGAATTCCCCGACTACTTAAATTTCAAATATATTCGACAGAATTTCTATCGAATATGTTTGAGATATAAATACTACTCCGACATCAGAACATCTCATTGTCTTCTGATTTTCATCTTCTTACCTCTTCCTTTCTCCTTCTCTTTCTCCTTTTTTCCGCAAGTAACATCTCTCTTTGAGCTTCTTCTCTTTTTATTTTCGTTTTTCTTTCTTCTTTTACATTCTCCTCTTTATATTTTCGTAAATTACCTTTAATTTTGACAATCCATCATCTTCTTTCTTTTCATTCTTCTCTCTTTTTTGTTGAATTCTTATTATTTAATATACTAATAGTTCTTTTTTTTTTTTCAAATTTTAATACATTGATTATGAAATAATGTGAGGTAAATTTTGTGATTTATACTTTTTATCTTCTTTTCTTTTTGAAATTCTTATTACTTTATATACATTTTTTTCTATTATTTTTGGCAGGAACAGGAACATATTTCAAAATAGTTAAGGTTAATGCTCATTTTAATTTTATATATGATTATCTATTACTTTTTATATTATTGTTAAAATTGTTTCATAAATATATTGTTGGGGAATTTGATAATTGTGTTAGTTTTACTAATTTTTATATAAAATTAATAGAAAATAGTATAAGATTAATTCTGGATTTTGTTGATTTTTCAATTTTTTTTTATTTTTCTGCTAAGTATTTGAATACAATATTGCAAAAAAATAAAAAAACATATTCGACAGAAATAAGCTGTCGAATATAATTTTCAAAAAAAAAAATATTCGACAGAAATAGGCTGTTGAATATAATTTCTAAAAAAAAAAAACATATTTGACAGCTATTAGCTGTCGATTATATAGCTTTAATCAACAGCTAATGGCTGTCGAATATAACTTTCAAAAATTAAAAAATCTTTATTGTCAGCGAAGTTCTGTCGATTGTGTTTATCTTCAACAGCCAATATCTGTTGATTAAATTAGTATATTGACAGAAAAGTTGGCTGTCAAATATACTCATTATCAACTCTATTTTATACGACATACTTGGCTGTCGATTAAGACATAATCGATAGATATATTTCTATATTCGATAGACTTTTCTGTCAAATATACCTTGTTTTCCAATAGTAATGGTATGCAAAAAAATTGATTAAAATTATTAGTTTTATAATTCAAAAATATGGCAAAAGAGTCTAACAAATTAAAATAGGTATTTAGTTAAAGGAAAAAAAATACATTTGGTTGATAAAAATAAAACATGTAAGATAATTGATTTATTAGAACATGTATAAATGTATTTGTTAATGAATTTATCATATTCTCTCTATACCAAAATAACTGTTGTCTTTTACTTTTTTCTAAATTAAGTATTCAAGGATAATTTTTATATTTATCTACAATACCCTTAAAAAAGAAATAAAAGATAAGAAAGGATTTTTTATAATTGGTTGATTAATTAAAATAAATAGATAATGATAATGACATAGGAAAAAAATATATATATCTACCTCAAAAAATAAAAATTGATGACAATTAATTTAAGATAAATTTAAAATAAA